TCTTCTTCCTCTCTTTATACCATTTGTTTATTTAGCAGCACAGCAGCAGCAACAGCAGCAGCAGCAGCAGCAGCAGCAGAGGCAGGAATAGCTGCATTATTAACAGAAGAAGTATAATTAGAAACAGTTGCTGCTACACATCAGCAGCAGCAACAGGAGGGAACATTCTTTGTCTGTCAGCAGCAACAGCAGCAACAGAAGGACAGCAACAACAACAGCAGCAACAGCAGCAACCGCAGCAACAGCAACAGCAGCAACAACAGCATGAACACTTGAATTATTTGTATGTTGTCCTTTCTTTCCCATCTAATAACAACAGCAACAGCAACAGCAACAGCAACAGCAACAGCAGCACCACCACCATCATCATCCTCCGTTTAATAATCATAATCAGCAGCAACAGCAGCAGCAGCAGCAACAGCAACAGCAACAGCAGCAGCAACAGCAGCATCATCATCATACCAACAACCTCTACCTTCATATACATCCCCATAACCACCGACCCCACCACCACGACCACCACCACCATAACCATAACAAATAACCATCAGCAGCAACATCAGCATCAACAGCAACATCAGCAGCAACAGCAGCAGCAGCAGCAGCAGCAGCAGCAACAGCAGCAAGAGCAGCAAGAATGAAGTTTTCGAAACGTTTACAGGAATTATGTGTATCTAGTCGTTCTTCTTTCTATGTATCTTATAAAGAATTAAAAAAAGCAATTAAATTATTTACTGGTTATGATGTATCGGCATTATCTATACAAGATGCACTTTCTTCTTTTGCTAATACTAAGGCATTAGAAGGAGAACATTATAGGTATATTCTTGCTGCTCCTCCTCCTCCTCCTGCTGCTGCTGCTGATGCTGCTGCTCCTGATGATGATGATGATGCTGTTGATGATGATTGTCGTTATGTACTTTGCTGCTGCTGCTGCTCGTGGTTGTTTTCCTGTATTTATTCATGGGTATAATGTATCTGCATTATCTATACAAGATGTATATTATTGCTTCTTCTTCTGCTGCTGCTGCTGCTGCTGCTGCTGCTGCTGCAGTTGCTGCTGCAGTTGCTGCTGATGATGATGATGGTGTGTCTTGTTGTGTTAGCTGTGGCTATGAATGTGTATTTGCTACTATTTCTGCTCCTCATGCTGTTGCTGTTGCTGCTGCTGCTGCTGCTGCTGCTGCTGCTGCTGCAGGCCTCCAGAGAGTCGTTTTGAGGATTTGCTGCAGCACGAATTAGCAAAAGTAAATTCATTTTCTGTTGCTACCTTAATTGCTGCATCTGCTGCACTGCAGCAGCTACTTGAGCAGCTGCATGCGCTGCAGTATCAGCAGCAGCAACAAATATTACTTAATAATCCTCCATCTCCTCCATCACAACAACAACAACAACAACAACAGCAACAACAACAACAACAAGATGGAGAATCAAATACTGCTGCTGCTGCTGCTGCTGCTGCTACTCCTTCTGCAGCAGCAGCAGCAGCAGGTGCAGAAGGAGGAGGAGGACAAGAACAACAACACGAATTATCCTATACCTCTATCCCTCCCTTATTAGATGATAAGACTAAGACGTTTCCGTCTCCCCCTCCCTCCTCTTCCTCATCATCAGCAGCAGGAGAAGAAGAAGAAGAAGAAAAAGAAGGAATAAAAAGTATAGAATTATTAATAAATAAAGAAATAGATCGTATAAAAAAAGGATTAAATATAATTAGCGAAGAAATAATATTTATTTCGTCATTTGTTCGAATCAATTTTACGGCATTTCGAAAAATTGCAAAAAAATTCGACAAATTAAATCAGTCTACTTCTGCTGCATACCATATGTGCAGGTATATATATATATATATATATATATATTTATTTATTTATTTATTTATTTATATTTATTTATTTATATATTTATATTTATATTTATTTTATTTATTTATGCTTATCGTGGTGGTGGTTGTGGTGATGGTCGTGGTTGTATCATTTTTTGTTGGTTTGTTCTTTTCTTGGTGGATTTGTTATGGTCGTGGTATACACTTCTGCTGCTAATGCTTTTTTATTTATTGCTGCTGTTGCTGCTGTTGCTGCTGTTGCTGCTAATGGTGATGGTGATGGTGGGTTATTGTTGGTAGTGTTGCTGCATGTTTTTGTATCTTTGTATGCTTGTCTTGATCTGCTTCTGCTGCTGCTGCTGCTGCTGCTGCTGCTGTTGTTGTTGTTGTTGCTGTTTAGGGTTATGCGGCAGCCATTTATGAAGTTGAATCTCCCGCTGCTGCTGCTGCAGCTTGCTGCAGCATATAGGCAGCTGAGGGCATTGAAGGCGATGCGTCGATTCCCTGATGCAGTTATAGCAGCAGCAAAAGAAGCAGCAGAAACAGGAGGTGATGCACCAGCAACAGATGGTGCTGCTCCTACAGGACCAGCACCAGGGGCTGTAGCAGCAGCAAAAGCAGCAGCTGCAGCTGCTGCAGCTGCTGCTGCTGCTGCACCTGCTGCAGCACGATCATCAGACGATACAACACCAGAAGATCTATTGGGAGAAAAAACAACTAAATATTTAATTCTTCCTGATGAGGTCGTCAGGTACACCTCCTCCTGCTGCTGCTGTTGCTGCTGCTGCTGCTTCTGTTGCTGCTACTGGTCTGGTTATTATTGTCTCTGCTGCGGGTTTACTGGGATATCCGGAGAACTGTTGGTGCTACCGCTGCTGCTGCTGCTGCTGTTTATTGTTGCTGCTCTTGCTGCTGTTGCTGCTGTTGCTGCTGCTGCTGCTGCTGCATGTGTATAGGTTGCAGGTAACATTAGCGAAGCATTTAGAGTTATATTCAATAAAGGGGTGCAGCACAGACACATCAGCAGCAGCACTATCTCCTCTACAGGCAACAGCAATAAAGGAAGCAGCAAAAGCGCAGCTTGCTGCTGCAGCAGCAGAAGGAACGAGTACTGACGCATGGCCATTCACAATAGCAGCAGCAGCAGAACCAAGTAACATAAAAACCATCCCCACCACCAGCAGCAGCAGCAGCAGCAGCAGCAGCAGCAGTAGCAGCAGCAGCAGTAAGAAGAAGAAAGAGAATAATATAACAAAAGAGGATATGAATAGATTAAGGAAAATAGCCGAAGAAATTGCATCAGAGGATAAAAGAAAATTAAATTCTCTTCTTTATTTTGATTCACCTAATCTTGATTGCTTCCTACAACTTGTAATTTGCTGCTGCTGCTGCTGCTGCTGTTGCTGCTGTTGCTGTTGCTGCTGTTGTTGATGATGATGATGCTTATGTTTTTGTTTCACATGCTGGTGCTGCTGGTGCTGTTGTTTTTCTTGTTGCTGCTGCTGCTGCATGCGCTGGTGTTGTTGCTGTTGGTATACTTGCTGGTGCTTGATGTTGCTGCATCTGTTGCTGTTGCTGTTGCTGCTGCTGCATCTACTGCTGCTGCTGCTGCTGCTGCTGTTTTGTGCGCGTGCAGCAATCAAAAAGCCGCAAGCGTGGGCAGCCTTGCAGCTGCAGCATGAGCAGCAGCACAAGCAGCAGCAGCAGCAGTAGTCGTACTAGCAGCAGCAGTAGCAGCAAAAACACAAGCAGCAGCAATTGCTGCAGCTGCCAGATGGAGCTGCTGCGGCTAAGGGAAGTAAATACTAGTGATTTATCTTCTGCTGCTGCTGCTGCTGCTGCTCCTCTGCGCTTCCTTGAGTTCACAAACCCTCAAGAACCTGCATCAAACCCTCAGCAGCAAATCTTCTCTTCATACGAAGTAAACCCTAAACCCTAAACCCTAAACCCTAATATTAACCCAAAGATAAACCCTTAACATTAAACAGTGTTTACGCTGCCTACTGTGGGGCTCTATACAGCGGATAGCCTGCTGCTGCTGCTGCTGCTTCCGCTGATGCTGCTGCTGCTGCCATTGACAGCCCATAAGGTAGTAATCCTCGTAGAGTGTTGTGCTGCTTGCAGACACCGGAAGTGTTAGAATCGCTGCAGCAAAGTTCGCTAATGCAGCAGCAGCAGCTGCAGCAGCTCGTTGCTGGCGACTGTGCTGCAGCAGCACGAGAGGTGGAGAAGCAGATGCTATCTATGGGTAAGAATTATTCTTTTGTTGTTGTTGCTGCTGCTGCTCCATAATATAATTTCTTGATTAATAATGGGCTTCTAAAAAAATCCAACAAAAATTTTAGGGTTTAGGGTTTAGGGTTTAGGGTTTAGGGTTTAGGGTTTAGGGTTTGTGGTATAGGTATGTCTCGACAGTTCGCTAAATCAAGAAAAGAATTAGTATTAAAGGCAGGAGAAGAAATAAAAAATAAAAATTTACAACCAATTTTAAGGGTTTGGTTTACGAGGACTTGTTTTAGGTATATGCTAAACCCTAAACCCTAAAACCCTAAACCCTCAAACCCTAAACCCTAAACCCTAAACCATTTTTTGTTTGTTTGCCTCGTATTCCACACCTGCAGATGTGTAGAGAATCAATACTAAACCCTAAACACTAAACCCCTACAACAGTCCCCGTAGTCTCAATCGTCTTTCCTTTCTAGGGTTTAGAGATGAGGGTGAAGGGTTTAGGGTTTAGGGTTTAGGGTTTGTGGTGTGCAGGTCGGAGGACGGTTCGCTGTTTGTAACTCTTGATGAAGATCTCCGCTTTGCGAGGAATCTGCCAGACGGAGATTGGAAGGGTTTGTAGCTAAACCCTAAACCCTAAACCCTAAACCCTTGGTAGCAGAGTAGTAGTATCTGTATTGGAGTTTCTTTTTTCTTGTATACATATATTAAGTGTCTAGGGTTTAGGGTTTAGGGTTTAGGGTTTAGGGTTTATGTTGTGGGGTCTGCAGCCTTCCTATTTAACGGTGCAGCAGCACTGGCATCAGAGGGAGCAGCACCGTTCCCTTGGGGAGTAGTAGACGTATCCAGACGGGCGCCGGGATCGGGATCGGGATCGGGATCGGGATCGGGATCGTCTGGGATCGAACAATGCCAACAACTTGTGGGGTCTTCGTCTCCTCCTCCCTCATCCATTGATTTCCTCAGCGGAGTTGTTGGTAAGCCAAACCCTAAACCCCAAACCCTAAACCCTAAAATATAAACCCTAAACCCTAAACCCTAATTTTTTCATATTTGCTCCTTTAGCGATTTTTTTTGTTCACTAATAATAAATAAAATAAGTAAATAAATAAATAAATAAATATAATTAAATATATAATTTATTTTATTTATTTATTTATTTATTCTTAGGGTTATCCAGTGTAACAGAAGTGTTTGGATTCTCTCTCTTTGCTCATGGTATAGCTAGCTTATTCCCCCTTGAGCTGCAGCGGCTATCTGCTGCTGTTGCTGCTGGTACTGCATCTCCTGTTGCTGTTGCTGCTGCTGCTGCTGGTTTGCTGCCTCATTGGCTTGCATACACCACAGCAGCACAAGAAGACGTAGAAGCTTACCATCAAGCAATCAATATGGTTGCACCGCAGCAGCACAGCAGCAACACAGCAGCAGCAGCAGCAGCATTACCAATGGGTTCCCACCATAAGCAGCAGCAGGACGAGCAGCAGCAGGATGAGCAGCAGCAAGAGCAGCAAGAGCAGCGGCACAAACACCAGCACAATCACCACCAGGACGTCGCGATCCCGGCTACTGCCCCTACAACTACTAATGCTGCAGCAGCTGCTGCTGCAGCAGCTGCAGCTGCAGCAGCAGCAGCAGCAGCAAACCATGTCTCATCAAGGGTATCCAAGCTAGATGTTATATATAGGGGCCCTGGGGCCTCCATTGCCCATGACCAAGAGGCATCTGTGCAGGTACGTTTGCTGCTAAAACCCCACACTTTTGCTGCTACTGTCTATCTCCCCTGGGATCGGGATCGGGATCGGGATCGTTCGTGTCTGCTGCTCTCCTCAGGAGTTACGACAGTCCCTGGAGACTTCCTCTGCAGGCGCTTCCTTGCATGCAGGAGGCGGTGGTGTCCGTGGTACCTTGAGGGAGCCTCTGCTGGGTGGCAGCAGCAGCAGCAGCACGAACAACAACGGCAGCAGCAGCAGCAGTGGTGGTGGTGGTGGTGGTCGACGTCACCAGCAGCAGCAGCAGCAGCAGTACAGCAGCAGCAGCAGCAGCTGGCTCTCCTGCTGCACAGGCAGCAACAGCTGCATGCCTACTATCCGTCGTTGCTGCTCTCGTCTTTCTCGCTTTCTTCGTCTTCGTCAAAGAAATGGTAGAAATTATCGTGGTGCTGCAGTAGTCCCTGCTGGTGCTGCTGCTGCAGCAAATACATCAGCAGCAGCAGCAGCAGGAGCTACTGTACGTGTAGAACCTAAGACTTTTTTTGCTAACGAGAGGACCTTGCTGCAGTGGCTAAATATTGCTGTCCTCTTAGCCTCTGTTGCTATAACACTCTTATCTTTATCACAGACAGCAGCAAAAGCAGCAGGTTTGCTGCTCGCTCCTGTTGCTATCTTCTTTATTGGATACTCCTTCTGGGTACGCATGCATAACACAGCAGCAACACCAACAGCAACAGCAGCAGCAGCAGCAGCAGTAGTAGCAGTAGCAGGTTGCTCCTGCGATCGTTGGGGTCTTTGAGAGTCGCGTAGGTAAAGGTTTACCATTTTTGAGGGTTTAGGGTTTAGGGTTTAGGGTTTAGGGTTTAGGGTTTAGGGTTTGTGTTTGTGTGCAGATATATTTGCGTCGTTCTCGAGCATTAGAGCGAAAGGAGCCCATAGACTACAACGATCACTTGGGTAAGTTTACTGCAGCAGCAGCAGCAGCAGCAGCAGCACTAACACAAGCAGGAGCAGCAGGAGCAGCATGCATGCATGCATGTGTATTTGCTGCTGTTTGTTAGGTCCTGCTGTATTGGTTGTTTCTCTTACATTGGCGTTATGCGCGAATATCTTTTTAAATGTATTTAATTCAGAGGCGGATGCCTCCTCCTCTTCCTCTCCTGCTGCTGCTGCTTCTCCTGATCCTGCTGCTGCTGCTGCTGCAGCAGCAGGATCAGCACCAGGTGCTGCTGGAGGAGGGATAAGGATGGAAGCAGAATTGCTGCCCGTACAAAAGATTGCTGCACGAGTTGCTGCTGTTGGTCTTCCTGTTGCTCAGTTGTTGAGTTCTGCTGCAGCAAGGACCTTACCAGCAGCAGCAGCAGCAGCAACAGCAGCAGCAGTAGGAGCAGCAGCAAACAACTACAATAACAGCAGCAAACCCCCTACAGCAACAAATGGCAGACTAGAGGCCCTTAAGTCAGCACTTGCTGCTGCAGCAACACAGGAAGGAGAAAAGACCGCAGCAGCAGCAGCAGCAGCAGAAGGGACACCAGCAGACAGAGAAGCAGCAAAGGCTGCTGCTGTTGTTGCTGCTGCTGCAGCCCGAGAGGTCGCGCGAGTGCGGGCTGCTGCAGCTGCCGCCGCTGCTGCTGCTGCTAGGGAGGCAGCAGCAGCAGCAGCAGAAGCTGAAGCTGCAGCAGCAGAAGCAGAAGCTGCAGCAGCAAAGCTTAGTAATGAATAATTAATTACCCCTTGCTGTCTCCTTTTGTCTCCTCATTGTTTTCTGCGCTTCCTTACGGTAGTGCGCATGCTTAGACTCTATACAGTGGCTGCTGCTGCTGCTGCTGCTGCAACAGCAGCAGCACCACCAGCAGCAGCAACGCAAAACTGGATCCGTTGTTTAGTTTGTGGCTATCTTCCTTTTTTCTTAGTAATAGGAAAGGCACTAATACCTAAATAAATAAATAAAATAAATAAAATAAATAAATAAATAAATAGTATATAACTATGTAATTAATTTGCCGAAAAAATACATGTATTTATATTATAAAAGTTGTTGGCAAGGGAATGCATGCATAAATGCATGCATAAATGCATGCATAAACGCATGCATAAATGCATGCATAAATGCATGCAGCCCCGTTATATAATAGAAAGAAAAATAATATTAAAAAAATGTTTATTTTCTCTTAACAAAAAAAATAAAAAAAAATATATTAATAATATGCATATCTTCTTTGCTGCTTTGCATGCAAATAGCAGCAGCACATATTTCTTGCTGCTGCTGCAGATACTCCGGCTGCATTACTGCTGCAGCTGCTGCTGTTAGTTCAGCAGCAGGGGCTGCAGGTACGGCTGTTCATTCAGCTGCTACGCTGTGTTGCTTCTTCTTCTGGTGCTGCTGGTGCTGCTGCTGCAGCTGCTGCTGCTGCTGCTGTTAATTGACGGCGTCTGGAGGCGCAGCAACCAACAGATGCAAACCCCACGTGCTGGCGCCTACGAACACGGGCCCCCCAACATCGGCTGCAGCAGCAGCTGCTGCTGCTGCTGCTCCTTCAGCTCTACATTCCCTTAGGGCTGCAGCAGCAGCAGCAGATGGCCAACCTCCTAGTCGCAGCAGCGCACAGCATGCAGTATTTATTTGGCTCAGCTCGCGCTGCTGCTGCTGCTGTTCAGGTCCCCCAGTGCAGAAGCAATCCCAGGTAGCTACATTCCCGGTGCGGGCTTGCCGCTGCCGCTGCTGCTGCAGCAGCTGCAGCCCCTGCAGTGTATCTGCTGCTGCTGCAGTTCTGCTGCGCCTGCGGCCGCAGATGCCGCCATTAGGGTAGATGAAGGGCTCGTGCACCAGCACGTGCTGATCTTGGTGGTGTACGCGGTGTATGAACACCTCCTGCTGCAGCATGTGTCTGTTTAGGTCTGCTGCAGCACGAGGCAGCAAACAGCAGCAGCCAAGCAGCTCAAATAGAGGCATATCTACTGCTGCTGCTGCAGCTGCTGCTGCTGCAGACGGAGCTGCTACAATCTCTCTGTAGCTGCTTCCACCACGGTTCATATCAAACAGTAAGAAGCTGCCGTTGCTGCTGCTGCTGCAGCAGCAACTGTTGCAGCTGCTGCTGCTGAAGGGAAACGGAGCAAAAATCATCTCTTCCTTGCTGTCAACAGCAAAACGCCATCTGTTGCTGCTGCTGTACCAGAACGTGCTGCTGTTGTGCCTTTGGGGAGGAAGGAACTCATGGACAACACAGGCACCAAGGCGCCTGCAGCCGCAGAAGCAGCAGCAGCAGAAGCAGCAGACGCAGCAGCAGCAAACCCAGCAGCAAATAGTGTACAAGAAGCATCGAAGGGAGGAAGCAGGCAAGGTTGTGCCATAACTGTTGCTGCTGTTGCTGCTGCTGCTGCTGCTGCACCAGTGTCACCGGCTGCAGCAGCAGAAGCAGCAACAACCCAGCAGCACTAGCTCCAACAGCAACCCATGCACAAACGACACAAGCAAACGTGGGAACACCAGCAACAGCAGCAGCAACAGCAACAGCAGCAGCAGCAGCAGCAGCAGCAGGAGCTTGACCAGCCGCAAGACCAGCAGAAGAAGAAGAAGAAGCAGCAGCAGCAGCAGCAGCAGCAGCAGCAGTTATACATTGTGCTAACCTGTGTGCGTTGCCTGAAGAGAGTTTTCTTAAGTCAATTAAATAGAGAGACTCAACACCGCAGCGCAGCAGCACACCAGCTACATGGTGCTGCAGCGGGAGTATACAGCTAATGCTGCTGCTGTTGGTGAAGTTGGTGCTGTTGCTGCTGCCGTTCTGCTGCATAACCTTCATTGGTAGAGGACAACGAGGATCAATAGCATATAGGCCTCCTCCCTCCCCCCCTAGCAGCGCAACACCAGCAGCATCTGCTGCAGCTGCTGTACCATCTAATCCTGGTGTTGCTGATGACCACCAAGCAGCAGAGCAGCAGCAACGAGGCAGCAGCCAATCAGCCTTTGCTGTTGGGGCCCACACCTGCTGCAGCCGCACCTGGCCTTCCCTTGGCCGCAGCAGCTGTGCTGCAGGCAGCCTACCTGCTAGTACAAACCAAGGAGATGTTGCTCCTCTTTCTGCTGCTTCTGCTGCTGCTGTTGCTGCATCTGTACCTGCAGGAGGCAAGCTCGATGCGCATGCCCATGCATCCTCTGCTGCATCCCATTCTGCCCAAAGCACTCTGCTGCTGCTGCTGCTGCTGTCGTTGCTGCTGCTGCGGCTCCCACCTTGCTGCACCACAAGGGCTCCAAGGTTGCGAGCGCTGCTGCGCAGGCAGCAAACTGCCAGCGAGCCACATAGCTGAATGTCTACTATACGGCCATCTGCAGCAGCAGCAACTGCTGCTGCTGCAGCAGAAGCACCAGCAGCAGGCGGTACCCCTGAATCCACAGTATCCTCCAACGCTGCTCCTCCCTGCTGCTGCTGCTGCTGCTGCTGCTCCTGCTCCTGCTGCTGCTGCTGCTGTTGCTGCTGCTGCTGCTGCTGCTCCTGCTCCTGCTCCTGCTCCTGCTGCTGCCGCCGCCGCCGCTGCCGTTGCAAGGTTGCCCTACCTCTCCTCCGCCCTGATGGAGAAGCCAGCAAAGAACCTGCTGCTCTTCCTGCTGCTGCTCCTGCTTCTTGTCCGGCTCCTGCTGCTGCTGCTGCTCCTGCTTCTTGTCCGGCTCCTGCTGCTGCTGCTGCTCCTGCTGCTTGTCCGGCTCCTGCTGCTGCTGCTGCTCCTGCTGCTTGTCCGGCTCCTGCTGCTGCTGTTGCTGCTGCTGCTGCTGGTGTAGATAGCTTTAATACCCCATTCGCGCTGAACTGCAGCAAACGGCTAACACCTTCTCCGCCTGCAGACAGCAGCAGCTGCCAGTTGCAGGAGGCAACTTGCCTCCTTTGCTGCTGCTGCTGCTGTTGTTGCTGTTGCTGCTGCTGCTGCTGCTGCTGCTGCTGCTGTGCTGCTGGAATGTATGAGGCCGCAGCAGCAAGACAGACAAAGGGGGCAAAGCCAATACGCAGAGGCAGATGCACCTGCTGCAGGGCAGTAGTGTATGCCATTAACTTCACATCTGCTGCTGGCCACTTCTTGCAGCAGCAGCTCAGGTTGCTGCTGCTGTTGCTGCTGCAGTTGTTCCTGCCTAAACGGTGTCTACGAACAGCAAGAAAGAGACTTCGATAAGGGGGAATGTATTCTGCTGCTGTTGTTGCTGCTGCAGCAGCAACAACAGCAGTGCATTCCTTTAATTGGGCATCCCCACTAATAGTCCCCAAGTCCTTGCTGCTGCTGCTGCTGCTGCTGACCAGTCGCTTGGCATTTTTGCTGTGGCTGCTATTGCTGCTGCTGCTACTAATGCTGCTGCTCCTGCTGCTGCTGTTATTGCGCCTTTCCCTGTGCCTTCTGTTGGAAGGTGTGCTGCTGCGCTGCAGCTGCCACAGCACGAACTGCCTCCGCAAACATATGTGTTGCTGCCGTTGCTGGTGCCGTTCCTGCTCCAGTTGCTGCTCCAGTTGCTGCTGCCGTTGGTGCTCCCGTTGCTGCTGCTGTTGCTGCTCCAGTAGCCGACGCCGACAATATCTCTGCAGCTGCTGCAGCTGCTGCAGCTGTATCTGGTCCTGTTCGTACTGTTGTTGTTGCTGGTAGGTCAAGTGTTGCCTTCGTCGCCTAGCTGGAGGGGATGTAGCATGTCCACTGTTCTGTTGCTGCTGCTGTTGCTGCTGCTGCGGTTGCTGCTCTTGCTGTTGCTGCTGCTGCTCTTGCTGCTGTTGCTGCTGCTGCTCTTGTTGCTGTTGCCGCTGCCGTTGCCGTTGCTGCTGCCGTTCCCGTCGCAGCTCCTGTTGCCTTCGCTGTTGTTGGTAGTGCCTGAGCAGCTGCAGAAGTAACTGTTGATGTTCTAGTCGTTGTTCTTGTTGTTGTTGTTGTTGCTGCTGCTGCTGCTGCTGCCGTCGCTCTGGAGGCGTCAGCCGCTGGGGCTGCGGATTGATTGCTGAAGAAGGCCGCTCCCGTGAATGCAAGGGAAAATAGCGGCGGCGTTCTTCATCAAAGTAGAAACCAGGCAGATCCATTAGGGTTTAGGGTTTAGGGTTTAGGGTTTAGGGTTTGGGGATTAGTGTGTGGGAAAGTTCGAAGTATCTCGATATCGATAATACACACCAAGTGGCTGCTTCTGCTGCTGTTGCTGCTGTTGTTGCTGCTGCTGTTGCTGTTATTGCTGCTGCTTCTGCTGCTTTAGCTGTTCTTCTTGCTACTAAGAAGGTCCCTGCTAAGTTGCGAGCCTAATATCTGTCGTGTTGGCAGCAGCAACTGTAGCAGCAGCAGCAGCAGGAGGAACGGCAGCAGCAGCAGCAGCTACCGTTGTCGTCGCTGCAGCTAGTGCTGCTACTGTACTTGAATTAATGTAAAAACATCTACTGCATGCAGAAAACAGTATTAGGCAAGGAAGAACAGGGTTGACAGTACTGCATCTTCCGCTGCTGCTGCTGCTGCTGCTGCTGCAGTTTCCTGCTTCTGCTGTTGTGCTTGCTGCTGCTGCTCCCCAAAGCAAAATTCTGAATACTCAGATATATTTTACACTCATTTACTTTTATTTTTATTTATATATCCCTCTAATAAAAAAAGAAATTAAGGTTGTGCTGCTACAGGGGGCCCCCTGGGGGGCAACCTGTAGCTGCGCAGCACAAGGAGGCTTGCGACGACAGCAGCAGCCGCAGCAGCAGGTGCTGCTGCTGATGCAGCAGCTGGACCTGCAGCAGCAAAACCAATGGAATTTGAGCAGCAAAAATACAATTGAAGAATTAAACTGCTGCAGCCTCTCTGTGTAGCAGCAGATTGTGGTGGGCCTTTTACACACAACCCCACCACCGTTCCTCAAGGTCCACCAACAGCAGCAACAGCAGCAGCAACAGCAGCAGCAACAGCAGCAGAAACAGCAACAGCAACAGCAACAGTAATAGTAGGATAAGCGACAACTACAGCGGTTTCTGCTTCTGAACTTATTGTAAGAGACGCGGCTCGCTGCTAAGCACCCTCATGGGGGGGCCCGGCGCCCCTGCTGCTCGTGCAGCAGCAGGAGCAGCAGGAGCAGCAGGAGGAACAGCAGCAGCAGCATCAGCAGCAGGGGGTGCTGGCGGCTTCTCCGCTGATGATCTTGAGAGAGCGAGGGCTTCTTTTCGTGTTTTGTTAGAAACTGCTTCGTGCCTCCTCCCTGCAGCAGACGGCAAAGCAGCAGCAGCAGCAGCAGCAGCAGCAAATGGAGCAACAGCAGCAGCAGGAGCAGCAGGAGGGCTGCAGACATCTGTGCTGCTGCTGCTGACCCGCCTATGCGAAGAAAGTTGGTCTCCTGAGTTACTAGCAGAGATGATCGTAGCAGCAGAAAGACACAGAAGGGACTTCATCTATCGGGCGCAGCAGCAGCAACTGCAACAATAACTGCTGCTGCAGCAATAAGTGCAGCAGCTACTGCAGCAGCAGCAGCAGCAACCAAATGAGAATTTGCTGCTGTTGGCTTCTCCGTTGTTCGACGCGCCACTCACAGGCTCCTCAGTTGTAAATCCACTACTGCTGCAGCAAGTCTAGCAGCAGAAGCAGCAGCAGCAGCAGTAGCAGCTCCAGCAGAGGCAGCCCTGCGAGTAACTGCAGCAGCTTCAGCAGCTGCACCGGCTGCAGCAGCAAGATGTATAGAGGCAGCGGCGGGGAGTGCTGACGCGTGTTTTGTTGCATCAGCACCTGCTGCTGCCTCTACAGTGTCTGGTTGCTGCTGCTGCTGCTGCTGCAGGAGCAACTGCAGCGGCTGCGCCTGTTGGTGGCTGTTGGTGGCTGCTGCAGCTTAGCTCCCGTGTGCTGTCTGCTGCACTAGCAGAAGCAGCTGTTGCTACTGCAGCAACCTCAGCAGCAGCAGCAATAACTCCATTGTTTGTTACTCTATGGTTTTTTATAACCTCCGTTGCTTTAGGGTTTAGGGTTTAGGGTTTAGGGTTTAGAGGCCTGTTGCCTCCTTGCGAGTTGCTGACCATCTCTAGGGTTTAGGGTTTAGGGTTTAGGGTTTAGAGCGCATACAGCAGCGCCAAAGAATAATTCAGAGTATACCTGCAGATATACCGTAATGTGTATAATCAGTACAATATATATATATATATATATATATATATATATATA